CACTACTCATTCTCTCTCTCTCAAATAAATAAATAAAATCTTAAAAAAAAAAAAAAAAGGCAAAGGGCTTGTAGGTTAGCTCTTTGTTGGTACTGTCTCAGGCTTCGGAATCTCTCAGTTGAATTACTGGGTGAGAGGAAAGAAGTTACCCAGCAACCCACCAAACCAGAATTTTGCATGAGGATCTCTGCCCCTGATCATCTTCCAGGAGGGCTGTACTAGATTCCAGGGATCTAAAGAGCACCCCGTACCTGAAATGAAGAAAGCCCTCATCCCCTAGCATCAATCTGAGGTGTATAGTGATCAGTGGAGATCAGCCTCATGGCGAGATTCCCTTCAGTACTTTGTAGTTTGGTCTTAGAAGCTGAGCTACTTAGGGCCTCAGCAATTTATTTATTTGACAGAGAGAGACACAGTGAGAGAGGGAACACAAGCAGGGGGAGTGGGAGAGGGAGAAGCAGTCCTCCCGCCGGGCAGGGAGCCCGATGCGGGGCTCGATCCCAGGACCCCGGGTTCATGACCTGAGCCGAAGGCAGACGCTTAACGACGGAGCCACCCAGGCGCCCAGCAAGCAGGTCTTAAAATGTTACTGAGTAACTGCCAAAATGAGCTATTACTCAGGAAGTGATTGGAACAAAGTACAGAGGTACTGAAATATTTATGGAATTTTACCTACCATATTGTCTTGAAGGGCTAGCGATAAATTAATACATGTGTCCACACCACATAATACCACAGTGGGATTTTTTAAAGATCGAAAGCTGAATTGCTTTCAGATACCAATAATGTCTTGCCATTTTTAAATGCCTTCAGTTTTTAACTTGCCTTGGCACGCTCAAACTCATGCCCACTGAGTTCATTGACTCTGGCGACCTGGTTTGACCCCTTGCCCTCCCGGCCCCTCTGGACTGAGTGCCCCAGTTGGTGGGTGGGTGGACGGCTGGAAAGAGGCATGAATAGATGGAAGGGGGTGGGCAGGTGGGTCCATGGAAGTTGGTGAGTGAGTATGAGCCTTGCGATCTCTGGAGTACCCGGGGCCTTAAAAAGTCAGAGACCTGGAGCAGCTGGATAGGGACCTGGCAAGGGAATTACGCTGGAAAAGTGGGTGGAGGAAGGAACTGTTGCACATCTCTCCTCAGCTTTCCTCCCCACGCAGACGCCCTGAGTATTCCTAGCCTCCCCGGCTGCTACCTTTGGAACCCAGAAAGGAAGGTGGAAGCAGAGAAAGGAAGGCGGTGTGATCGCAGTGCCCTCTGGTGGCCATAAGGGGACTTGACATTTGGTATTAGGGTACAAATATCTTCACTATTTCACCCACTAGACTGTAAAGTCCACAAGGACAGGGACTTTTGTCCGTTTACTCATTGGTGTATATCCCGTGTCTAGGACAGTGCCTGGTACGTAGTAGGTGTTAACACATATTTATTGAATGAGTGGCTGATAGATTTCCAATCCTGCTCCACCACTTTATTGATGCATGACCCCGAGCAGTTCTCTTAACTTCATAAATCCTGTTTCCTCATGGAAGATGGAGACGCTCTCCCCCACCCCTCATGAGGGTGGAGGGAAAGAGACCTGCCCAGGCTGAGCAAGGGCGCTCAGTCAACGGGCTTTCCATTCTCACCGGCCAGCCAGCGTCGGTGACCCATCATATGCCGACTGCAGGACCCAGTCTGATGGGCACACTTGCCATGATGAACATGGGCCTCCGCTGGGCATGGGGCAGCTTGGGGAAACCATCCGAACCTCATCCCAGCCTGGCCAGGCAAGAAAGAAGTGCAGGCAGAGAGGGTGATACCAGGTGAGGTGTGAGATCCCTCTTGTTCCCATCCCACCCCCCATGCCCGTCTCCCCACCCAACTCTTCCTATGGCCCTGAACCCACGGGGCTCCATCTGCCCTCTGAGCCTTGGCACACGCTGCTTCCCCTGCCTGCATTCCCTTGTCTCCAACCCCATTGCCACGACCCACATTCAAGGCTCTGAGGGGCTGCATCAGCCTCCCCCTTGGCTTCCTACAGCCACTCTGGCCCCCTCACGTGTATCCTTGTGCGCTGGACTTGGTCTACACTGCAAATATGCTTATCTCACTTTCCAGCTTCAGTCTGATTGTTCTCGGGACAGAGTCCAAGTCCTCCAACCTACCATCTTGTGGTCTGGACCCAGCCCAGCTCCTAGCCAGCTCGCCTCTCTTGATCCCATCTTCAAATCTTCCACCAAACAATCCAAGCCATTTCCTGCCTCTGAGCTTTTGCCCTTGCAGTCCGCTCTGCCTGGAAACCCACTCCCTTGCAAGGAAGGCATGTGTTACTTTTGCCTGCCCAGGAGTCTTTTCCTTTTCTTCTGGCAATGGGAGCCGCTCTCAGTTCTCGGATCTGGAGGTGCCTGTAGGCCTGACCCATTTCTGCATTCAAGGGTGAGCTTGAGACTCAGCCTGCTAGAGTTCTTTCTTTTTTTTTTTTTTTTTAAGATTTTATTTATTTATTTATTTGAGAGGGTCAGAGGGAGGGAGAAAACACAAGCAGGGGGAGCAGCAGAGGGAGTGGGAGAAGCAGGCTCCCCGCTGAGCAGGGAGCCCAATTCAGAGCTTGATCCCAGGACCCCAGGATCATGACCCGAGCCGAAGGCAGACGCTGAGCCACCCAAGCGCCCCTAGAGTTCTTTTTCCTTTCTTAATTGGGATGCTGTGGGGTGCAGTATACATTCCCCAGTTGGCTGCGGCCCACTTCTCTTTGTCTTATTCCAGCTTCTCCCGTTTATTTTATTTGCTTGGGTCCTGGAGGCATTTGAGTTTGAAATTCCTAGTACACTTCGCCCTTCTGCCTCTGTCAAGGCTCTGATTCCCTCCTGGATCCCAAGCGTTTTGCCTTCCCATTCCCAGTGCATCCGTGAATCCTGATTTCCTTATCTTGACACCCAGAAGTGCCCCTGGTTCTATGGGCATTCAGTTATGCCCCTTGGGGGTTGAGGAGCTGAGCTCAGAGATCTAAGTTCCCTGGAGCCGGGAAGTCTGCCCAGCTGAGCATGACTGTTTTCCCTGGAAAAAGGGCAGGAGGCCCCAGTGTGTATTAAAAGAGGACAGGTGCAGCCCCAGGGGCATCTCTGGGCTGTGTCCTGGGAGAACGGTCCCTTCAGGCCAGGGCATGACCGAAGGCAGTGGCTCACCACTTCTACCCAGCAACTTTGCTAGATTCATCTCCACTGTGTGCTCTGAGCCTGGCCACAGCTGCGGCTCAGTACATAATTGCTATGTGAAGGATGGTCTTGGCTTGTCTGGGGTTTTCACATGTGAGATGAGCTCATTGTTTTCTTGATCTGCCTCTTTCCTAGCAAGGGGTCTCTAGGACTCAGGAAGGGGCAAAGGGATAGGTTACCTCCCTTAAGGCAGACTGGGACCCGCAGACTCCCCCTGGGAAAGGAGCTTTGTGGATGAGCTATTTTCCTCTCCTTCTGGCAAAGTGCAGAGAAGACAGTGGGTTCTGGAAGGGGAGTACCTCTCAAGACCGGAGCCTTTTTGGGAAGAGTCACCTGAGTGACCAGTTTATCCTAGGGAGCCCTCCTGTCATGTTTCCTCCCGGAGGGACCCCAGAAGGGTAGGGTGCCCAAAAAAGTGAGTGAGCGAGACCTCAGGTGTGTAGGAGTGGGGAGGCTGGATCTAAACCCTCTGCTTAGACCCCTGAGTCCTGACCTAGCAGGAAAGGAAGTCTGATGTCTGAACAGGGACCTCTACCTGCACCATTCCTTACTCCCTCAACTGACCTTTGTTCTGGCCCCAGCTGCCCTGTGTTCACCTTCGTCTCCCAACTAATGATAGCGCTATGGAACCAGAACCTAAAAGGCCTTCAAGCAACAAATGGAGGATGCTTGGTGGAGTCTGTTGGGGACCCCAGAAGTGAATGGGCAGGTTCTCACCTCCTCCAAAGAGGTGGTCACAGTAGCCAGAGGTGACAGGCAAAGCACTTAATGACCAGTACAACATGGGCATCAACCACATAGAATGTTCCAGCTGAATCTCAGACCTGATGCCATATATCCTCAAATATAAGATGCCATTGACTATAATATATATATATATATATACTATTACTGGAAAAGAAACTTGTCAATTAAACTATGACCAATCTTTCTTTCTTTCTTTCCTTTTTTAGGATTTTATTTATTTGAGAGAGTGCGTGCACATGGCAGGGGGAGGGTTAGAGGGAGAGCAGCTTTTTTTTTTATCACTTTCAATTTATTTCTGGCATCTGTTAAAATAAGTCTCTCGGACTTATTTCCACATCGATTGTTATGTTCTGTCTACAAGCTGCATGCACGGGCCATGACGGCTATGACCGACGCCCCAGTGACAGTGACCACTAGACTCCATGGTGAAAGACACACTTTGACTCAGAGAAGGTTGTGTGTGGAAAAAGGTGCATCTTAGAGTCGATGAGCTATGGTAATTTCTAAGAGTTACTGAGCACTTATTCATTATCATCCAAAGAAATCTGTAAGGTGATCATTTATTAGACCCATTGTACAGATGAGCAAGGGTGAAGTCAGCCCCCCCAGCTCACACGAGCAGTAGGTGGCCGAGCCAGACTCCCGCCCAGGCTAACCCGGAGAGAGTCATGTACTATATTTAAACAGGGGCAACCTTGAGGGTCCCAAGAAACCGTGTTATTCCATGGGCGGTGGCATCCTCTTTGAGTTTAGGACCTGTAGGCTCAGTACACTGGCGCGGTCCCTTCAGCAAACAGCTTGAGGGAGAAATCAAGGGCGGGGGCGGCCTGGGTCAGCATCCCCAGAGAGATGACGTCGATGTGGGGCCCACAGAACTGAGGGAGGCTGGCCAACGTGATGCCCCCGCTGGCCTCCACGCCCACACCCGGGAAGCGGGCCTTCAGCGCTGCAGCCGTGGGGTGCAGCTCCTGTGAGACACAAGCCAAGGGGAGATGAGGGTTCCCCCCCACCCCCGCCACCACCACCACGGCCCCTTCCCGGGAAGCAGACCCCGCCTCACCTCAGGCTTGAAGTTGTCCAGCAGGACGAGGTCCGCTCCCGCCTCAGCGGCCTCCACAGCCTCCTGCAGACTGCCGCACTCCACCTCCACCTTCAGGGCAAAGTCGGCCACCTGCCGCGCCCCTCGCACCGCCTGTGGGGCAGGCCCAGAGGGGGAGAGTGAGCTCAGTGGCGCCTGGCACGGGGCACAGAGCGGGGCCTGGCCTTCGAGAGGCCCAGGGTGGGTAAGGAGCTAGGGGTTAGGGAGAAGACCAGGCAGCCAGATGATTGCTCCCACACTAGGTGAAACCACATGAAATGACTGCTTGTGTGGATCAGAAAGGTGGCCAAATATCAGCAATATTTGGCAGTTGGACGGGAGTTCAATTTGACTCAAGAATATTAAAACTGCGGGCGCCTGGGTGGTTCAGTTGGTTAAGCGACTGCCTTCGGCTCAGGTCATGATCCTGGAGTCCCGGGATCGAGTCCCGCATCGGGCTCCCTGCTCAGCGGGGAGTCTGCTTCTCCCTCTGACCTTCCCCCCCTCATGTACTCTCTCTCTTTCTCTCTCTCAAATAAATAAATAAAATCTTTAAAAAAAAAAAGAATATTAAAACTGGAAGGCAGGGGAGGCTGGGTGGCTCAGTCGTTAAGCGTCTGCCTTCAGCTCAGATCATGATCCCAGGGTCCTGGGATCGATCCCTGCATCCAGCTCCCTGATCCGGGGGAAGCCTGCTTCTCCCTCTCCCACTCCCCCTGCTCATGTTCCCTCTCTCGCTGTGTCTCTCTCTGTCTAAATAAATAAATAAATAAACAAACAAACAAACAAAACCACTGGAAGGCAGCTCTTCCTGCCCGCGGGTCCTGTCCTCCTGCTATAATAAAAACATATCTTGCACCGAAAAAAT